CCCCAAAACCCCAAAACCCCAAAACCCCGATAAATAGATTTAGTGGTATAAAAAGCAATAGAAATAAGTTATATAATTGATGATACCTATTATCAAAATGTAAATCCTCTTTATAAAAATCATATTCTTAATCTTAAATTAATTTAGTTATTCTAGTTGTTCAGAAATCATAGCTTTGGATATTTATACAAATCATTCACTGACCAGCACCTATCTTTTGCACAATGGGCATTGATCATTTCTTAGCAGCCATTCTGTGATACAGACTGAGTGATAGATATGTTGCTCGTGGCAAGGTAGATATTTGATGTCATCAGAACCTACAAAATATGAGCAGCAGATTGAGCACATATCTTAAATATCTGACATCATTTATTGCAACATGAGAGATTCCAAATGTTCTTGATTTTTGTGCTCAATAAATGGAAAGATATTGCAAGTTGACTTTTGCTTCGAAAACTGTACTTCCATCTCACTTACAAATTTTGAGTATTTAGTTTCCTTTAGTTTGTCAATTGCTTTTTATTAAAGACCTAACCCCTTTTCAAATAGAGGTTAGTTTAGCATATTCTACTATTAATTCTATGTTTATAACTAATTTTCTCTTCCAGTAGCTAGGATTTCCTCAAATGAAAAATCTACTCCAAAGCATTTAGCAACTGCCCATATCATTATTCCGAGAATAATGAATGTGAACTTAGCTAGATGAATAAAACCCAATATTAAAACGAACAGGAGAGTATAGGTTAGAAGAGGAGAATTGGATAAGCACTCTTTTGTTTCTTTGAGGAATAGAACATTGCCATATATTAGCCAGGCAACCTAGAGTGCATCGCTAAAGAACTCCATTATAGTCGCTAGCATCTTCATTTATCTCGTGAACCTTGTTCTCTTTAAATTGAGCAATTTGATGGCTGAGTCTAATACGAGCAAAGCAATATAGGCAAATAACCATCTATGAATGTTTTTGGTGCATTAGTTTTCATCTTCAAAAATTGATATCATTATGATTGATATCGCAACAAATGCATTGATCAAAATGTAACTCAGAGCTGATTCATACTCATCATAAGGTTGAGGCTAGTGAGGTCCTCCAACTCCAGTATAATACATCCCATCCGCAAAGTTAGGATACTATATGTTTCTATCTGATTGAGAGACTTGAGATCTACTGATTCCCCCTTGGTTCAAATTTGCAATTGACCTCTAATTTATCGGCACCCTTCTCTGCTAGTATATTAAATCACCATCATCATTATTGGAAACAACTCTGGCTGAGGTTGATCTTCGTTGGGGAATCGCATTTAAATCCTCGTTCTCCGGTCTTGGAGCATTGTTTGGAAAAATTAGATCTGAGGATTGCATTATTTATTTTTACAATTATAAACTTTCAATTATATATTTTAATTTTCTTTAACATTGAACTGATTCGAAATTTAGAGCAATGGGGTTTTGGGGTTTTGGGGTTTTGGGG